TACTCTATATATTCCACAAATAAAAATAAATGTAATATTTGTCTTTAGGGGAATGGCTTATTTCACATAGCACAATGATCTCCAGTTCCATCTATTTTGTTGCAAATGTTGGAATTTCGTTGATTTTTTTTTAAGGCTGAGTAATATTTCACCATATGTATATACACACACACCACATTTTAATGTAATCATCAGTTGATGGGCATCTAGGTTGATTCCCTATCTTTGCTGTTGTGAATTGAGCATCTATAAATATGGGAGTGCCGATATCTGTTTCATATGCTGACTTGACGTGCTTTGGATATATTCCCAGGAGTGGGATACCTGGGCCATATGCTAACTATTTCTAGTTTGCGCAGGAATTTTTGTACTGTTTTCTTTAATAGTTGTACCAATTTGCACTTAGACTTACAGTGTAATTGGATACCCTTTTGTCCACAACTTCATCAGCAATTATTTTATTTTTATGATAGCTATTTGTTATTTTTGGATGATAGCCATAGGAGGTGCCTGGCACATATGAAGTGCACAATAAGATTCCTGAATGAGTCGGGGGAAAAAAAGTCCCAGAGAATAGTGAGCAAAGAGGAGAGTGGCAAAAATAAGGTTAGAAAGACTGAGTTTCCCAGCCAGTGCTGTGGTGTAGAAGGTTGAGCCTCTGCCTTCAGCACCAGCATCCTATATGGGTGCTGGTTCCCGTCCCGGTTGCTCTACCTTCTGATCTGGCTCCTGGCTTCAGCTTGGTCCAGCCACAGTCGTTGCAGCCATTTGGGCAGTGAACCCGGGGATGGAAGATCTCTATCTCTGCATTTCAAATAAATAAATTTTAAAAAATAATAAAAAAAGGTTAATTTAAAAAAAAAGGTTTCAAACACAGAAGGCCCTACAGGCCATTGGAAGGTTTGGGCGTTATTCTAGGTATATTGGAAATATTGAAAGCAGGGGAAGGATATGTTCCAGTTTATGTTTTCCAGAAAATGAATTGGGAGGGGAACAATACTGGAAGTTAAATCACTTAGGCTTTTCAGGACTTTGGTTGAGATAATGGCTTGGACTTGGTTAATAGCATCAGAGATGGAGAGGATAGAATCAGCACAGGAAATAGCATTGACAGGACTTTCTAATGGAACTAAATTGAAGAATGAACGAGGACAGGGTGAATCAAGGCATTAAATTTTCTTCTCAAACACCTGAAATGCCAACATGTTGGGATGAAAAAGCCTTGCAGTCTGGACTAGAAGGGATGGGCTGGAGGCAAAACTCAAGGGTAGTTTTTTGAATATGTTCAGTTGGAGGTGTTTATGGGGACACCTCAGTGAGTTAGTCCATTAGGCACTGTAGATAAGATTCAAGTGTGGAATTTAGTGCACAAATCAAGGTTGGAGATAAAAAGTTGGGACTATTGAGCATAAAGATGGAAATTTAAGAGTCCATGGGAATTGCGGCAGTCACATAGAAAGACAGTGTAAGAGAAATGTGGTTCCACATTAAACTTTAGAGATGCATAGAAAGGATTGAAAATGAGTTGTTGGTGAGATATAAGGAAAACCAAGAAAGAAGTTGAGGGAGTAGCATACAGGACACTGAAACAGAACACCCAGAGAGGGCAGAGGGCGAGAAGCCCTGGGAAGAAGAAGCCTCTTTCCAAGTCTTAGAGGGGCTGTAGGAGTAATCCTAACTGAAGAGGCTCTTTCATGTGACCTTTATCATCAAGATGGTGAGATCCTCATTATAAAAAATGGTTAATTATGGGGCTGGCGCTGTGGCGTAGTGGGTAAAGCCGCGGCCTCCAGTGCCGCCATCCCATATGGGCGCCGGTTCTAGTCCTGGCTGCTCCACTTCTGATCCAGCTCTCTGCTATGGCCTGGGAAAGCAGTAGAAGATGACCCAAGTCCTTGGGCCACTGCACCCATGTGGGAGACCTGGAAGAAGCTCCTGGCTTCGGATCAGGTTGTGGCCTTCTGGGGAGTGAACCAGCAGATGGAAGGCTCGCTCTCTCTCTGCCTTTCTTCCTCTCTATGTATCTCTTTCAAATAAATAAATACATCTTTAAAAAAGAAAAAAATGGTTAATTATGGTAAAAACAAGTGAAAAAGTCACGCTGCAAAAATTAAATAAAAAAAAAAAAAGATTTGATGGGCCTGTGCTGTAGCATAGCTGGTAAATCTGCCGCTTGCAGTGCCAGCATCACGTATGGGATGCTGCAGTCCTGGCTGCTCCACTTCCAATCCAGCTTCTTGCTAAAGGCCTGAGAAAGCAGTGGAGAATGGTCCAGGTGTTGGGCCCCTGCACCTGCCCTGGGCCCTGGCTTCATATTGGCACAGCTCAGGCTGCTATGGTCATTTAGGTAGTGAACCAGCAGATGCTAGATCTGTTGGTCTCGCCTCTGCCTAGCTCTGTAACTCTGCCTTTCAAATAAATAAATATTTTTTTTTTGACAGGCAGAGTGGACAGGGAGAGAGAGAGACAGAGAGAAAGGTCTTCCTTTTGCCGTTGGTTCACCCTCCAATGGCCGCCACGGCTGGCGCGCTGCGGCCAGCGCACCGCGCTGATCCGATGGCAGGAGCCAGGTGCTTCTCCTGGTCTCCCATGGGGTGCAGGGCCCAAGCACCTGGGCCATCCTCCACTGCACTCCTGGGCCACAGCAGAGAGCTGGCCTGGAAGAGGGGCAACCAGGACAGAATCCGGCGCCCCGACCGGGACTAGAACCCGGTGTGCCGGCGCCACTAGGTGGAGGATTAGCTTAGTGAGCCGCGGCGCCGGCCAAATAAATAAATATTTTTAAAAAATTATTTGAAAGGCAGAGTTAGAGGGAATTACATCAGATTGTGCATTCCCCAAATATCAACAACGGGTCCTGGCTCTGGCCAGGATTCTGGAGTTTATCTGGGTCTCCCTTGAGGGTGCAGGGTCCAAGTACTTGGGCCATCTGCTGCTTTCCCCAGATGATTAGCAGGGAGCTATATCAGAAGTGGAGCAGCCAGGACTCAAACCAGAGCCCATATGGGATCCGGGGATGCAGATAAAGAGGCTAAACCTGCGGCTCTGCAACCCCGGTCTCTCCATGCAAAGATTTTACATTTTGTTGTCTTCCTATATAATTTTTCTTAGCTAATTTAAACTATTTTAGGAGGATTAAAAAAAACCACACTAAACACTTTCCTATGATAATAAAAGCTTCAAAAACATTTTTGGATGGCTACACGGTGTTTCATAATGGAATCAAATAATTAGCCATAGCTTTAATGGTCCGCGTTTATTTCCAGTATTTCAAATTTATACAAGATGGTTTAAACATTTGTCATTTTTAGAGCATAAATCTTTGTAAAAATCCTCGGTAGACGTCAAATAGCTACCCACCGAAGTTTTTGCCATTTGCACTTCTAAGGCTTCTGCTTTAGATTGTTCAAGCCATCACCACGGACAGGCTGCGAAGAATGCTGGGGGCAGGTGAGGGATAGAGACGTGTGGAGGCCCCTGGAGCAGCAGCTGCTGGCAGAGCAAGAGCCTGGAAGCCTGTGAAATGCAGACGCCCGGGACTCAACGCAGACCCACCAAATTCGAATCTGCACTTTAACAAGCGTCCCTAAAGCGCCGGCAGCACTGATGGCCGCACGTTGGAATCACCTGGGGAGCCCTCAGATGCCCACTGCCCGGGTCGGAACCTCTGCCCGAGGAGCAAACAATTCCTCTCCAAGAGATCCTACGTGGGGCCGATTTTGAGAGCCAGAGCGCGGGGGCGCGGATAGGAAACGAACTACGAGGAGGGCAAAGTTGGTTCGTTGGGCTCAGGTAATGAGGAACGGGAATTGGAGGAAGCGTCCCAAACAGAAACCCACGCGGCCCTTTCGGATAGTGTACCTAGCTCCTAGGTAACACGATTTCAAAGAAAGGCGTGGGAACGCCTGGAGGGCTTTCTCCTGAGCGCCGGCGCACGCGCTCCAGCAGAGGGAAGACTGCGGCTTACCTAGCTTAGGGCCGCGGTCCCCGCCCCTCCCGCCCCGCCCCTCTCCCCCTTCTCCGCCTCTCCCCTCCCGCGCGGCGGCCGGTGTGGGCCGTGGGCGCAGGCGCACTGCCGCCACGCTCGGGGTCAGCCTCCGGTGACGTCAGGACGCCTCACGGGTTCCAGCGCCGCCCCCCCCCCCGCCTGCCCCCGATTGCCGCGCGGGCCGGACAGGGGCGGGGCGTAGGGCCAGCTGAGCTATCCCGTCAGACCGCGCCAGTTTGAATGAAAGCTCCACAAGATGGCGGCGGCCGGGGCTGAGGCGCAAGGAGGTGAGGCTGGAGCGTTGCCCCCTCTTCCCTCTCCGTTCCCAGGCACGCTTCTGAGGCCTGGGAAGCGGGGCCGTCCCGCGGCCCAGCCAGGCGGCGACGTGGCGGGACTCCGCCTGCCGCCTCGCTGACACGCCGACCCCAGGATGCGCTCTGCGGGCGCCTGCCCCCTCCTCCTGGCCGCTGACCCTCCTGAGGGCCTGGCCCGCTCCTCTCGCGTTCTCCCTGCCCTCGCTGTGCGCTGGAGGTGGGCGCCCGCGCGAACCGCGGCCGCGCCGGGCTGTGTGGAGCGTCGCTTCCCGCCGCGCGCTCGGCCCGGCCCGGCCCCTCTGGGCTGCCCGCGGCTGCATCGGGCGTCGCGGTAACTTCGCTGTGGGCTCCCGGCTCGAGGGTTCGTGGGCACGGCTGCGATGACTCCTTTGTGGTCTTGTGAGCCGGCCTTGTGGTGTTCGCTTGGGCGTTTGGGAAGCGGGAGAGAGAGAACCCGCAGGTGTAAACGAGACCCTGGTATCACAACAGCGAGGGAGAGGAATTGGGGTTGAAGTGGGGTCAGAAAGGGAGCGAGTGAGGCGCAGCCGAGAGCGGACACGTAAGAAGGTCTAATTGCTCCTCAGTGAGATCTCGCAGAGACTAGGTGTGTGAAGATGCAGCCTCTGGCTGGCGCTAACTTTTCTTCCCCCTCCCCCCGGGAACTTGGCGTTATTTATATGGACCTCGAAGACTCACACTGAGCACGCGCGCGCGCGTTTGTGCGCGTGTTCGTTTGTGTGCGCGCGCTTTGAAAGCCTGGAATTTTCAAATGCATTCTGGAATTTATAGGTTCTTTCCTGCTCTGCTCTGCTCCACATAGATTATCTCCTCACTATCCCAGAACTTTTCTTCCTTTAAGAATGGCGATGGATAGCGTGAGCTACTGGAAGGTTTTGATAGTGGTGTTGAAATAGTTAATATTGTCGATGTACTTTTTCTCTGTTACTATAGGCTGTCGGATTTTTTTTTTAACCAAGTGTTTTTAGCTTTTTTATATTCTAGTTTGTTTCTTCTCCATCGGTGGTGGTGTTTTAGATCCTCAACTAGATAAGAATGGTTCGGAACAGCCCACCACACATACCTTAGGTAGATAGATATCCAGGAGGCACCTCCTTGGCACCGGATCAGCTAATGAGGTTCACTTTGCACAGAACAACCTCAAGGTTTTTGGATGGAAGGAACTTAAAGGAATTAGTATTTTTCTACCCTCTACCACCACTCCCGGTCAACTTTTTCCCCAGCCTCAGTTTTCTGGGAGAAGTACGTTTTCCTTCCTTGATTTAGAACTAGGAGTCCTTGGCAGGGGGGCAGTGGTGGAAATTGTGCTTAAGGGTTTCTGACATTGAAGACCCTGTGTGAGTTGGGGGTGAGGGGATGAGGAAAGAATGTAGTAAAGTTAAAGCAGCTGTACTCTCACTTCCTGCAAATTTCCTCAAAACACAAAAGGTTATGGCCACTACCTTGGAGAGCTACCACATATGGCTTGAGTTTACTGATTCTATTTGGCAACCCAGTTTTTTTCAGTGAATCTGATCCCAGAAAGATTGCAAACCATGTAAGCTAGAGCAGACGATTCTTGATCCATCTAGTGCTTACAATGACACTAGCCATAAAAGCAAGTTTATTACATTTTTCTAAACATCACTTTGTGTTGATTTGTATTGTAAATTCAGCACGACAGCCTGACTACAGGAATTTGGAAGTAAAATCTTATGCAACATAAATAGTTTCCTGGCTTCTCTAAGGTAGATTAAATCCAATTTTCTTCAAATTGGGTATGTGGATTCTGTAAATTGAACACTGTATAACTCCTGGCTTTAAAAACAATACAGGAAATTAGTATTACCAAAAAAGTCAATATACACTGAATTTTTAGAATTATAGCACTTGGGTTGATAATACATTACAGCGTGGGCAAAATATTAAGTGGAGTTAAATTTCATGCAGGATTTCAAAGTGGAAAAATTAGGGCAAATAATGCCTTTGTAATTTAGAACTATGTTTTAACTAGGTCTCTGTTCTAATTATCCAGTTAAAAGAAATGAAAAAAGTTACTTTTTAAGAAATTAAAGATTGTGTTTTAAAATATATTATAGATGTACTTCTAAACAATAAGAATGCCCTGGAGATCTACATTGTATGACAATAATTGTATTCTATGTAGAATAAAATGGAAAAGTAAAAAACATCACCTCTGTTGACCTTGGCATCTGTATGTTATCTTAAGAAAAAGTTATAGGCATGGGATGTTTTGTTCAAGTGACTTAGTAGAAATTAATGTCAATTGAACATAGCAGGATAAAAATTCATGAGAAAAGTCCAAGACCAATTATCAAAAATAGTTCTTTAATACTTCATCTTGAAGACACATCATTGTTTTCTTGTCATATGAATTTTTAGTTGTGTAAAATTTCCAGTTGAAGGGTGGGGATATAGAAGTTTTAAGATTATCTTTTTTTTTTTTGTTCTAATTGAATAGCTGTTTCATTAGTAAAGAATTCTATTTTCTTATTGTAGCTTGGTGTGTGCCTTGCCTAGTTTCACTTGATACTCTTCAGGAATTATGTAGAAAAGAAAAACTCACATGTAAATCGATTGGAATCACCAAAAGGAATCTAAACAATTATGAGGTGGAATACTTGTGTGACTACAAGGTAGAAAAGGTAAGGCAAATATCTAGCCCCTTAAAGAGAGCTAATTGGACTTCATAATTTCTATAACATAAAAGAACTTTAAAAGTAAACAAAGTTCTTCTTAATGTTTAAAATTCTAAGCCTTGATACATTTATATGTTCTATCATCTATATTGCCAAATAATGTTTAGAAGATTTTGAAGCATAAAATGTTCTTGCATTAGAATATGTTAAGGTGCTTATATCATTCTGCATCCAACTCTTGATTATCTCTATGTGGATTATCAGAGTAAATGTTTGATCTCAGATTGGCTTTTTTTTTTAATAGAGTAACAATGATAACAGTTCAGTATACTTTATTTTTTTAATTAATTTATTTGAAAGGCAGAGCTGCAGAGAGGGAGAGAGAGAGACTTCTATCCACTGGTTCACTCCCCAAATGGCTTCAACGGCCAGAGCTGTGCCCATCCAAAGCCAGGAGACGGGCTTCTTCCGGGTTTCCCACGTGGGTGCAGGGGCCCCAGGACTTGGGCCATCTTCTACTGCTTTCCCAGGCTATAGCAGAGAGCTGGATTGGAAGTGGAGCAGCTGGGACCCAAAATGATGCCCATATAGGATGCAGGTACTGCAGGCGGTGGCTTTACCCACTATGCCATAGTGGCAGTTCTTCAGATTGGCTTCTCTTGTCATTTATTTTGTTCTTGGATCATATTTCCCCACTATTACCTGAAATGAACCTAGAATTTCAAACCAATTTTTATATTCATCTCCTCAAGAAGCATTGTTTGTATTTCCTGCCCTCGTGTCAAACTCCAGATATTAGTGAGATTCCATGGTAAAATAGAATGGCTTGAATTTCAAAGTCGTTTCTAATCTTCATTTAGTTCAGTATGATTATTAACTCACTTAATTTCTCTGGGCTTCTCTTTATTCTTAAAAATGGCAAGGTTTTTCTTTTAAGTTTTTTTTTTAATCTAAGAGTTATATTTTTGAGTAATTTATCTATCTGTAACTTTCCTCCCTGTTCTAAAAAGTCCGATTTGGTCGTTAATCTTTCAGTTGTCAGATAAATGAATCAGGAATCTTGTTTAATCCTTTGTTTTCCTTCATCTTCTATATAAATTAGTCACTAAATCCAACTCTTCTTTGAAATGTTCATCTTTCTTTGGTATCATTGTCTTCCTCACCTAGTAGGACCTTATGATCAAACATTTTACCTATATTCTCATATCCTTCACCCTGTGAAACTGCCCATTCATCTCCCATCTCAATATGTAAACTCTGAACTAATCAATCTAGTTGAAAATGTCATACAGTCTTACATATTGGCTCCATTAAAATTTAATTCTGTTCTCATACTTCTCAATTCTGCTTGACAAGCTGTTTGTGTGTGTGTGTGTGTGTGTTTAAATCTATGCTGTCTTTTTCCATTCTCTTCAGTAGTTTTCCCGGAGTTATTACTTTCTGGACTTTATTCTCAATTTCTCATACACAGGTAAAGATCTCTTCTCCCTCAGCTAAAGATCTGCTCTTCTCCCTTAGTGAAAAACAGAATTGAAGCTTCAGGTTTGTTTGTGTGTGTGTGTTTTTTTTTTTTTTTTTTTTTTGACAGGCAGAGTGGATAGTGAGAGAGCCGTTGGTTCACCCTCCAATGGCCGCCACGGCTGGCGCGCTGCAGCCAGCGCACCGCGCTGATCCGATGGCAGGAGCCAGGTGCTTCTCCTGGTCTCCCATGCGGGTGCAGGGCCCAAGCACTTGGGCCATCCTCCACTGCACTCCTGGGCCACAGCAGAGAGCTGGCCTGAAAGAGGGGCAACCGGGACTAGAACCTGTTGTGCCAGCGCCACAAGGCGGAGAATTAGCCTACTGAGCCACGGTGCCGGCCGAAGCTTCAGGTTTAAACTTAACCTTGCCTTCACTACCAGTTATTTGTATCTTCACTTTTTCAGAGGTGTCATGATTCTTCTTCCTGTCCATCCCCTTTAGGAATTTTCTTAATCCTTCGTGTCTTTTTCATGTCAGGCTCCCTTTTTTTGCTGATTATTCCCACTGATAAACATTTTCAGATCTTGCCAGCTTTCAAAAAATCTTCTCTTGACCTTGTCTCCTAACTCATGCAAGTATTTCCTGTCTTTTCCTTCACTTCCAATTAACTTTTTAATGGTTTTATTGAGATACAATTCACAGGCCATGATATAGTTCACTTATTTTAAAATGTACATTTCAAATTTTTAATATACTCATAGTCAACTTTAGAACATTTCTCAATACCCCCAAAAAGAAGCCCCAAACTCCTTGACTATCACTGTGAATCTTAATCACCCTTCCTTGGAACCTCAGTCTTAGGCAACCACTAAATGTGTTTTCTGTTTCCGTATTTGCCTGTTGGGACACTGCATATAAAAAGAGTCTGACAAAATGTGGTTCTTTGTGATTGGCTTCTTTTATTTACAAAATGTTTTCAAGGTTCATCCATGTAGCATATATCAATACTTCATTTCCTTTTTGTTGTCAAATAATATTCCATTATATGGATGTATCACATTTTGCTTATCCATTTGTCACATGATAGACATTGAGTTGTTTCTGTTTTGGAATTATTATATATAATGCTGTTATGAACATTTTATATACAAGTTTCTCTGGGGACATTTTTTCATTTCCTCTTGGTTAGTATAGAGGAGTGGAATTGCAGACTTATACGATATCTCTTTAACCATTTGAAGAACTGCTAGACTATTTTCCAAAATGCTGTGATATTTTTATTTTCCTACCAGCAGTATATAGGAGTTTCAATTTCTCCATAGCTTGTCCAGTACTTACTGTTGTTTTGATTGTAGTCATTTCTAGTGGTTATGAAGTGATCTCATTTTGGTTTTGATTTGCATTTCTCTGATGGCTAATGATGCTGAGCCTCTTTTTGTGTTTCTTGACCCTTCATCTGTCGTCTTTGGAGAACTGTCTATATGGGTCCTTTGAGCCTGGATTGTTTGTCCTTTTGTTATGGTGTATAATCATTCTAGATATAGATCCCTTATTAAATACAATTTGCAAAAGTTTTTTCCATTCTGTGGGTTATCTTTTCACTTCCCGCTAACTTAACTCACACTTTTCTGGTTTATACCTCTATCAGTAGCCTTCCAGTTGTCAAATTTAAAGACCTCAAATCTTAATCTGCTACTTGCCGCATTTAACCATGTTGACTACTGTTTCTATTTGAAACTCTTGCTTTATGGAGACTGCATAGATTCAAATTTTGGCGGTTTAATTTATTATGTGACCTTTAGCAACTTGCTTACTGTATGTGTCATTCCATTACTTTGTCTATGAAATGAAGATAGTTAAACACTCATCTCATAGGGCATTATTAACATTAAAAGAATTAATACAGGTAGAATGCTTAGAGGTTGACATGTGATAATTATGCTCTTATCAGTGTTTACTCGTTGTTAATTCTGCCCTTACTGCTTTTCTCTACCTGTTTTTCTTACTGGCCTTTAGGAATCTCCTTCATTGTTGCTCATCCTTCCTCTGATATGTAAATAATCTCCAAGACTCTGTCTTTAGCCTTCTTTTCACCTTGAAGTTACTCTGTAGGTGACCTCTTTCCAAGTGGTTTCTAATTATATCTGTTTGGCTCAAGATTCCCTAAATCTTTCTGAGGCCCCCTTTCTGGGTTTCATTTCAGACTGATACTCTGTTGACTACCCAAGTTCAACACATTCAAAACTGTACCTGTTTTCCTCCCTCATATCTACATCCTGTGCCAGTCTTCCATATTCTTGTGAATGAAATCTGAGTTATTTCTTCTCAGTATTTCATGTATCTTTAATTCTTGTTTCCTTCTTCTTAGCCTCTGAATTCAGTAAGTGATCAGATGTATTACCTCTATATCTTTGTCTTTTCCTAATCATTCCTGTTACTCTTTTACAGAGAGAATTTAGGGTATCTAAGGGTCTGTGTTTACACTGAGGAAGCTATCAAGATTCTTATAGAATTTTGAGTATTGTAGCTCAGTTTCAGATGGTTTTTGCTATTGGTTTTCTTGTTATTCCATCTTATTGTTTGCTTTGGAATAAGCAACCTTACTTTGTTCATTTATGTATTCAGCATCCTACTTATATCCCCATTTCTTCTTTTACTTGGCACAAATGTTTAATTTCTAAGCCCATATTCAACATATTTCTACCTTTTTCCATCTCTTTTTCTTTTACATATTCAGGGTAAATAAAAAATCTTCTGGCCCTGTCCTTTTCTTGTGTGACTCCCTGCAATTAGCTTATAAAAATCATGGTCTTCTTCTGTATATAAAGATAATTAAAAATGAATCTTAAGAATGGGATGGGAGAGGGAGTAGGAGATGGGATGGTTTGCGGATGGGAGGGTGGATATGGGGGGAAAACCACTATAATCCAAAAGTTGTACTTTTGAAATTTATTTAAAAAAAGTTTTCCAAAAATAAAAATAAAATTCACTTTTGAAAAAAAAAATGGTCTTGATACCATATTCCACAGTAAAGCATTACATTTGTTTCTTCAGCCCAGCCCTGATTGTACTGGAGTCTTGCTTTAGCTTTCTATTGAATAGTTTCCTGTTATCTGCCAGTCTGATGTGAGACACTGGCATGGGAACAAGGTTCTTTATCCTCTGGCCATCAGCTACTTCTCCAGTTTCATCTCTTATCTCAAGTCCTGTTTTTTATCCATATGGAAACGTTTGTAGACTTTTTAATTTACCTAAGACTTACAGAGCCTTATGGAACACCTGCTATGTTCTGAGCACTGTTTTAAGCATAAGAACATAGCTTAAAAAAAACAGACATACCATATGTTCTAATTCCTTGATCACATTGTGCGTCTTTGTGCTCTGTTGCTTTTCTCATCCACTTTCCACTTTGTAATACTATTGCTTCCCTTGTCTGTGTGGTAAAATCCTATTTAGTCTGCAAGATCCAGCACAGATATTACCACCTACTATAGAGATACCTTCTTTCCTCACTTCCAGCAAAATTAGTTCCTTTATGTTTAGGA